GAATATTTGAGGGAATGCGGCGAATGTGTATATGTATGTATACTTTTGCACATACATACATTCCGACAAACATATGTACATATATAATTACATGCGTATAAATATACTTTGGGCATACTAATTACATATACGAGCCCAAACAACCATTAATTCGAACAGCATTTTTTTTTGCAGGGCGCAATGTTTAACACACTATATTATCATGCTGTTCGAATTAATAGTGGTTTGGGCTCGTATTTATTTATTTATTTCTTAAAGATATTGACAAAATCGGGAGTCAATATAAAATTAAAAGGCCTAAACAAAGTACAAAAAACAATTACAATAGTATAACCAACCCGATGGGGTATTTTATTTTCCAGTCCGGCCAGCTATGCCCACTTTTCACAGCCAAATATGGTGTGTAATACTATTGAGACTATGAACAGAAAGTGTTAGAAAGAAATCATAAAATAAATATTAAATACAGAAATATTAAGTATAGATAATATAATAATTAAAATAATTCTTAAGATAAAAAAGAAAAAATAATAATAACAAAAAAACTACGAGATCCCCTGAACCCTTCGAGCAATAGCTATATCAATAATTTTTCACGTCTTTCAGCTTACACAAGAAACACGCACACACACACACACACAAGCACCTACGCATAAACACACATGGGTTGCAGTGTGCGCTTACTATGAGAACTTAATTGTTTAATAACTTTTTTTGTGGACATACGATCTTCATGAAACTTTCAGATTATGATTATAACATGGATATGCATGTATTTGCCAAAGCATAAGTATTTAAAAAAAGCCTTTTACAAAAAGGTTTTTTATCAAAAAAAAGCCCGGGATGAGTAATCGATTTTTAGTGATAAACTTGATATCCGCGCTGTAAATACGGACATTTAAAAAAAAATTGAAGTCTAGCTCTTATATCTTCTGAAATCGACGCGTTCATACATACGGACAGACAGACGAACAGGGCCAAATCGAATCAGCTCGTAACCCTGATCAAGAATATATATACTTTGTGGAGTCTGCCACGCCTCCTTCTGCCTGTTACATACATTTCGCCAAAAGCATTATACCCTGATTTCCCATTGGAAATGGGTTCAGGGTATAAAAAAGATATAGTAAAGGAAAGTATTAAAAGTTGTTGCAAGAATAGTTGATAATGCCAAAGAATAAGAAATAATAAAGGGAAAAGAGTAAAGGAAGAGCCAAAATATAATATAGGATAGGATTAAGAAATCACTACACAACATTGGCAACTAAATGTATACCAGTGCATATACCTGGGCACTGTGAGAGATTTCCCTAAGTTAAGCTAAAAGTAAGGATTTTATTTTAGGAAGAGAGAGCTCTTCCAAATACAAACAAATTTTTATAAATTCCAAAAAAGTTATTAAATAATTCATGAAAGTATGTGCTCGTGTGTGTGTATAATCAGAAAATAAGCGAATAATTAGCGAAATATCAGTTCCTCAAAGGGTTCAGGGGATCTCGTAGTCGGACAGTACCGACTGAATCTTCTGGGCACCCGCCTAGTTGTTGCTTTATACTATCATATGATATATGTACATACATATGTATATATGTATGATGTATGTCGCAATGAGCGCGTTAGGTCGCTGGCGCTTACGAATATTTACAAATAATAATTAAGCAATATTTGTAGTGTGCTTATTGATATTATGATTGGTTACTATATTGTGTTTCCGTTGTACATTTCGAATATGTATGTAAGAAATACATATATGGAATTTAAACGTGATGAGGTGGGAATCAGGTTGAATATTTGTAAGTTTCAAAGTCCTTAACCTCATTTTTTGCCTATTAAAAATAGTTTTCATTTGAAAAAGCTTTTAGTTAGCCAACAAACTGTTAACTGAACTGCATACATATGTATGCAAATTGTATTAAAGTCTATGCACACATTCTTGTGTGTTCGCAAGTGCATAATATATGCACATACACATGAATAGTGGTGCAGTCGACTACAGAACATCGTCAAAGATAACAGTTAACGAAAACGACAAAATAATATCTTATATAATATTTATAAAAATATATATATATACATATCTTCTATATATATATAAAACAAAGTCGTGTTATGTGTTACAACACTTATAACTCGAGATCTGCTGGACCAATTTTCATGGTTTTTGATTTGTTGGATTTGTCCCTAAAGGTTCTTTAATTTCGAAGCTGTCAAATTTTCATTTAGAATTTACCCAGTAGGCTTGATAACAGTAACAGTTTTCGGTCCTGCTCTCATGTTAAACAATTATTCAATAACATTTGATCAATACGTGAATGAATAAACTGTTATGTGTATTTTTTTAAAAAAGATTGAAAAACTTTACGCGTGCGTTCAGAAGCAAAATATCTCGAAAGTGGAAGGAACTGTTATATTTGTGTAAATTATTAAAGATTTATTCTACAGTTTAACAAGAGTGTAAATGTCTTTTCATAGGTTGTCTCGATTGTTTTATGTGGTTTTGTGCGAGTGCATATTCAGTATTACTATTAATATGCAGCAAAGAAGGGCCTTAATTCGAAGAGAGGCAGCCCGTGAAACGGCAATAAGAAATGGTTCAAGTATTGATTTGAATCGAGCTGCGTTTCGATATGATTGCACCATTGACTACACCTTGGATCGTATAGTTTGCATTGGTCCAATGGACATTGTTTGCTAGCTGTTGCCAGTCTGTACTGCCTTAGTGATAAAGTGACATTGCCATTATATTTCTATCTATATTAATATTGTTTTGTATTATTGTATTACGTTCATCAAAGCCTAAATTAGTTAGGCGGTACGAAGTTCGCCGGGTCAACTAGTGTATATATATTTATAAAATGCAAGTGTATTCTGTCAGGTTGACAGATATTCATATGTATGCTCGTCTGTTAGATTATTATTCTCTATCCCTCTCTCTCTCTCTCTCTCTCTCTCTCTCTCTCTCTCTCTATCCTCTCACTTTATAGCCATGAATTCAGCTCAGGCCTGTAAATTTCGTTTTTGTTTTATTTTTTATACCCTGATGAACCCATTGAACCCAAGCGCTGTCGCTGCTAGCTACGCAGTTAGGAGAGCGCGTGATATGCGTGCGTGTGGATGCATCTGTGCATAAAAGAAGTATAGAATGAGTAGAATATCAGCTTGGAGGGTTCAGGGTATCTCCCAGTCGAGCAGTCTCGACTGGAGCCTTCTTGTTTTTTTTTTTTTTGTGTGCATGCATGCAAAAAATATGAAAAATACAAAAATTCGAGTACAAATACATGTATAAAGTGTACTCGTAGGTATGGAATACGGAATGCATATATCTGTACTGTGTGTACGTGACATTTCATGATTTTATGAAAATTCATTTGGCCAATTTTATATGAATATTCGTGTATAGCTGTTTAAAAATTATCCTATATTCTTATCGATAAAACCGTTAATAATGTTTTGTAATTTAAGCGTGACAGAAAGACTATCTAAAAGAAATATAATACAAATAATAAGTGCAACCCAAATGCAGACGCTAGACTACTGCGAAACAAAAATCTTGAATGATTAGTTCAGGGTATTTCTTAGTCGACCAGTCTAGTCTTGTTCAAGATTACAAGGCCATCGTCATGTATGACACCGAAACACAGCGCAGCACGTAATGTGTTGTATATATATATATATATATGTGCATATGTATTTCACGCAAGCCTGTTTGCATGTAGATATTTCTTGTATATGTATGTATGTTATATTAGTTGATAAGCTAAAAGGAAGTTTGAAATTCGGAATGTAGATCCCCGTCTACCGCCCAAGATCAGAAAGCTATAGCGGATATATCTACGCCCATTGGAGGCACAGCAAATTGGGTAAAACTGTATCTTTTAAAGCTATCTAGAAAGCTTAAATGTTGAGCTAATGTTACGATTTTATAGAGATTGATGAAAACATTTTGGGAGAGACCTGAGTTGGAATGTATACTCGGGTTGACAACTTAAGACCAAATAGCTACATCTACGCCCACAGGACGCATGAAAAACCGCAAGAGTTTATATCTCCTACAGTTTAGAAGCGTCAAATTTAAATATTTTAGCTACAGTTAGCCTCCCCTATCGATGAGCCAAAAATAATTATTGCGCATCTTCAGAAGCGTGGAAAAGTGCTCTTTTATTTTCACATGATGAAAATAATAAGCACACCCCTTTAAATTTAACTTCAGTTTAGCAAAACTTTTTTCTACTGCCCTAAACATCAAAATTTAAATGCACGTTTCTGTATTAGGTATATACATATTAATAAAAATAAGTAAATTAGCAAAAGAAATTTTTTTTCAAAAGTTACAAACAAAAATACAATAAAACCATTATACTGCTATTTGCTTGACTCAAATAATAGGTACACTTTACTTTGGTAAGTTGTACTTCATTTTATTAACTAAGTTTTTACTATTTTTTGTGTCTTGGGCTTTTATCTTGTTAAAAAAAACCCAGCGCAGGGGAATATTTTGCTCAGCATATGGTAGCATTATATTTTCGAGAGTATCCCTGTAGTCAGCTGCTCTTTTAACGTCAGATATTGGGAAAATCTGATCTACCGCCATGCTTCACTGCTTGTTTTGTGAAGCGAGGATCAAATTCTTTACCTTTAGGGAATCTTACGAAAAATTAAGATTTAAATAAAATAAGCTGCATTTTCCCATAGTAAGCGCACACTGCAGTTCATACGTGTTTATGTGTGCGTACGTATGTCTGTGTGTGTGCGTGTATATGTGCATATGCGAATAATTATTGAAGTATCTGTTGCTCGAAGAGTTCAGGGGATCTCGTAGTCGAGCAGTCTCGACTAGAGCTTTCTTACTTGTTTTCTTCTATCAGTTACGTGGCATAGGCTCTTTAGCTATTTTGATCGATTGAGGATTCGTTCGGCTATATGTATAGTTTAAACCTAACTGTACATTTTACTGAATTCCTCACTTATTTATATATATATATCTGTTTGTATGTTTTCAGCTCCCTTCGTTTGACAGCGATGTAAGTAATTTCTAATAACAATTTTGATTTCTTACTGTTTCTTAGTAATTTATTAATACAAATATCGAATATTCAATGACAATGCAGATATTATGTTTTTAGCCGTCAAATTAAAAAGCAGCAATTTGAGGTATCAGAATTATATTCCCTCAGCATCCCGTAAAATAATTTTGTCTGCAATCATTTTCTATATGGCAAATCAGGGTATACTGTTTTGTTAAATGTAAGCCGACACTGCGCATGCGTGTGTGTGTGTGTGTATTTTTTGTGTAAGCAGAAAGATGCAAAGAATTGCTCGAAGGGTTCAGGGGATCTCGTAATCGAGCAGTCTCGACTGCAGCTTTCTTAGTTATTATAGATGGACTATATGCATGAAATTCAGATCGTGATAATAAAATTGAAATTTGCGCCTTTACCAAAGGACATGTCTCTAGTATTTGAAATCCTCCTAAACATTTTAGCCCGGGGGGGGGGCGGTATATATATAGGTGAGGGGGGAATTATAATTAAAAAAAACATCGAGATTCTACTACCTAGCTAGTAGCGTATATGTGCATAAATTCATCGTTTGTGGATTTTCCAGACGTTACTTTAGTTTGTGAGATGACCCTGAATCCATTGAAAATGGGAAAACAGGGTATAATAGTTTTGTTAAAAGTATGTAACAGGCAGAAGGAGGCGTGGCAGACCCCACAAAGTATATATTCTTGATCAGGGCAACGAGCTGAGTCGATTTGGCCCTGTCCGTCTGTCTGTCTGTTTGTCCGTCCGTATGTATGAACGCGTCGATCTCAGAAGATATGAGTTAGAGACTTGAAATTTTTTACCTAGGTCCGTGTATATCACGCGCATATCAAGTTTTTCTTTTTATATCGATAACTACTCCCGATATTTTATTATCAATCAAAAACCCTATCGAAAGCTAGTTATTTAATTATATCTCCTACACCTTTAGAGCTAGAGCTTCCAAATTTTAAATGTAGACTTATATGTATTTTATATAATTTCGATTTTTGTTGTAATTTGCCCCCCCAACCCTATATCCACCCCCTCACCCTCACCTTTGTAAAAGGCGTATTTCAAGTAGTAGAGACGTGTGCTTTGGAATGAACATACATTTTCACCATATGATTACGCTCTGAAAGTTTTATTAAGATTGTACGTCTAGAAATTAAATTATTCATCAAATAAATTCTTATAATGTTGCCCACACTACAGCGCAGCCCAAGCGCAGTCGCTGCTTACTCCGCAGTTAGCAGAGCGCGTGCTAATACGTGCGTGTGTATGTATGTGTGTCGAAAAGAAGTGCAGACTGATTAGAATATCAGATTAGAGGGTTCAGGGTATCTCCTAGTCGAGCAGTCTCGACTAGAGTTTTGTTACTTGTTATAAATTAAATATCTTATTGGGAAGGTGCGAGCTTGAATGACATCGAGCCATCATTAGTCTCGCCTACAGCTTTGTTACTTGTTATATCCTGCATTGATTGAAAATATAAATTTGGGCTATATTTTTATACCCTGAACCCATTTTCAATGGGAAATCAGGGTATAATGGTTTTGTTGAAATGTATGTAACAGACAGAAGGAGGCGTGGCAGACCCCACAAAGTATATATATTCTTGATCAGAACGACGAGCTGAGTCGAGTTAGCCCTGTCCGTCCGACTGTTCGTATGTCTATTTCAGAGATATAAGAGCTAAAGATTCAATTTTTTTTTATGTCAGTATATAGCGCGAATATCGAGTTTATCTCCAAAAATCGATAACTCATCCCGTTTTTTTTTTTTATTATCGAAAATCAGTTTTAAAATTATATCTCCTACATCTTTAGAGCTAGAGTCTTCAAATGTAGATTCATATGTACTTTATAGAATTTCGATTTTTTTTATAATTCACCCCCACCCTTATATCCCTGTGCGTTATATTTGACTTTGATAACTCGTACAAATTCTCTTCTTACTTATTCTTGTAATCGCTAATTGAATACTTAAAAATCTAGGGAATCTAATTCAGAATGTAGGTTTCTGTATAGACATATATCATAACCCAGATATCGTATTCATATTCGCAGGCAGAAGATCTCTTCGATGACATACTCCAAAATGATTCCTTTAATTTCGATAAAAACTTTAGTTCGGAGCTGTCTATTAAGCAGGAACCACAAAATTTAACTGATGCAGAAATAAAGGATAGACAGAAGAAGGATAATCATAATATGAGTAAGTTATTTAATCACAATAAAAATATTTATTTGAAAACAATAAATATGTCGTTTCCGCGTTCTACAACAGTTGAGCGTCGTCGGCGTTTCAACATAAATGATCGAATCAAGGAGCTTGGCACTCTGTTGCCAAAGGGAAGTGAGGCGTTCTATGAGGTTGTACGCGACATACGACCCAATAAGGGAACAATTCTAAAGTCTTCGGTTGATTACATCAAATGCCTAAAGCATGAAGTCTCGCGTTTAAGACAAAACGAAACCCGTCAACGCCAAATGGAGCTACAGAACAGGAAACTCATATCTCGCATACGGGTAAACAAATTTTCATCGATATCTTTGCATCAATATTGCTGTTGACATTCCAACTCTTTTTTTTATAATAGGAATTAGAATTGCAGGCAAAATCGCATGGCATTTCTCTCTCTGATTACAACCTGACATCTGTATCAGCTCCCACGCCACCCATCTCGTATCTTAAGTGCTCCAGCCCGTCACCAACAACTTCATCTGTTGGACACAATCATCAAACAGCGGCGTCCCTAATGGAGGATGTTATGGAGGACAAGGTAATAATAAATAGGATTTAGTTACATGTAATACAAAACTAAAATCAAGCTGGTGTTTATTCAGCTTCCGTTGACCAACAGTGATCTTCCAAATATGGGCTTGAATCAAATCGATGAACTGATGGAAGATTGTAAACACCCGGTCCAGGGAGGTGATCCGATGTTGTCTTCACATAGCAGCCATTCGCCAGTTGCCACGCAACTTCAGTGCAATAGAGAGGCTGCCATTTATAGTACCACAGCAGCAGGTGGTGCGGATTTGAAGCGTACCGGCACGTGCACCGGCAGCAGCAGCAGCAGCAGCAGCCGTGGTGATAACAACAGCAGGTTTTGTACCCATTCGGAACACTCGCATTCGTATTCGCACCGAAGACAAGGGCATCAGCATTTGCATTCACATCCCCATCATAGAGGCCATAACGAGCAGAGTTCGTCATTTGGCATGCTAAACAACGATTGCGATGGCTCTGGGCACGATCCGCTACTATCTTCATCACAGCAACCACAGGGTACTGTTGACGTAGACGATCATCATTCGGTGGACCTCTCTGCAGTGATGATAAACGATCATTCACTTTCTTCTTTAGTGGATGAGTCCCAAGGCGAACCCATGCTATTGGCACCCGATTCCTTAGATATTGACCTTTGAGAAAAGCAATTGAAATTAAATAAATTGCCAAGCATAGCAAACGCATCAGCACAGTTCAAACAGTGGAGGAGTAGCTTAGTATTATTGCTTGCATTATAAAATGCTTGATTATATTTTGTAATAAGAAGTATTATTGAAAAATTTGTTATATAAATGCAATTGTTATATGTTTTTTGATCACAAAGCAATCAAACATGTGTGTACAATGTGTATATATGTTATGCAGCAAATATTCAAATTGTATGCAAGATTTGCATATGCTACATAAGTACATATGTATCAATGTTTGTGTCTCCAGCGTATAAATATCTGTATCTATACGAATGCATTCCGCTTGCCAGTTTTATTTTGATTTTTCCTGTACTTATTTACTTACATTTGATATATAGAAAAATCAAAAAATATTATAAAGGTAATATTTTTAACAATTTCTATGTCGTCATCCAAATAACCTTCGTCGTATAGATTTTTTTTCTGATAATGTGCAATAATCATTGGATTGATATATATCTACATTTATGTTTTATTGCTCACATACATTCACTCACTGTACATACACTTCTAGTTTTGATTGCTGCGAATCTTACTGTTTTTTCTTTGTATGCGTAATTTAAAATTGTTGATTAAAAACTGTTAAATACATATATAAAAATGAAACAAGCCAATATTTGAATTCACTGGGTGTTCGGTTAAAAGAAAACATCGAGTAAATTTAACTTATTATACACATACATTTATTTTTATAGAAGCTATTTAATAGTATTTTTTTTTTTATGATTGAAGAGAAAAGACAATCTTAGCGCTTTATTGGAAATTATTGTAGTTTGAGTCAATAATCATTTTTTGGCCAATTCGGCTGACAGCCAATCTAGTCCCTCGTACAAGCCGTGTCCTTGGGTAGCGCAAGTGGACTGAATAAACCACTAGAATATATAAAATATAGTCAGCATGCAGAAATTGCCATCTGATTAGATATGACATACATGACGGTTCCTCAATTGATTCAAATGTAACTTGTCAGTCAGTTCGGCCGCACTCATTGCATTGGGCAGGTCCTGTTTGTTTGCAAATACCAAAAGAACAGCATCCCTAAGCTCATCCTCTTGAAGCTTAAATATGAGAACACAAGCAGAAATTTCAACATTTGCATAAACATTACAAGATCTAATGAAATGTACCATATTTTGTAGTTCCTTTTCAGCCTCGGTTATTCGATCACGATCGTTCGAGTCGACAACAAAAATTAGGCCTTGTGTATTTTGAAAATAATGACGCCATAGTGGACGAATTTTGTCCTGGCCGCCGACGTCCCAAACAGTAAAGCATATATTTTTGTATTCCACCGTCTCCACATTGAATCCGATGGTAGGTATGGTTGTTACAATTTCGCCCAATTTCAGTTTATACAATATGGTTGTCTTTCCGGCAGCGTCCAGGCCAACTGAGCATTCAAAAACGCAAAAAAAGATGTTAAAGTAAAAGTAGTCATATTTACTTATATGCGTGTCTGAGCATATACACGTGCATTTGTTAGCGTCTGTATGCATATACATATATAAATTTAAACAAATGGCAAAATATCAACTGCGTGAAATCAACATTCTATGTTCCGCATTTTGGCTGCGTGGCTAGAACTAGAATTTAAGGTGTAATGTCATGACGTACTGGCGTGGCCACTTTACGCTGCCACCGACGCCTCATATTGCTAGTCATAGATGCATCCAACACCTACCCATTAAAATTCGCATTTGTTTTTTGCCAAATAATCGCGTTAGTAAACTGGATATGGTCAGTCCCATTTTCTTGTCTGTTTTCTGTTCAAGCAAATAGAATCTATATTTTCACACAAATTTTAGTTACTTAAAATTGACGTGTAACGATTGGAGATAATTTTTTATCGATAGTTTACTAAACACTTTGAATGTGATCAACCGATAGTTTCTATATGAAATATTAAATACAATAAATATATTTATTATTTTTATTGACAACGTTCAAGTTTTTAAGTATTTATTTTAGATTTTATTTGGCACCAAAATTGACCGAATGCAATCGAAAACATACTGTATAATCGGTCACCAAAAATTAAAACCTGCCAACCTAATTATCGAAAAGTCAACCTAGAGGGAAATTGTTTTGAGGATTTTATTTTTCCTATTTCAAATATATTTATCTAACGGCACATATAATTTCAGTTTATATGCTATCGATTACTTAAACAAAAATTGATTTTACAAAATCATCTTGAAAAATCGATGCACACATGTATTGTCTGAACAGTTTTTTATTCATCCAATTTTTCCCCAAAATGTCTTATTATAGTGCTTGAGTATTGTAGGTGTGTTAAGTCTGTAATATATTGTAGTTGAAATATGTGGAGGTACCAAATTTGGTGGTAAGACTGAAGGACCGGCTTAATTAATGCTCTTTCTTTGTCAATGTGCATGTATGTGTGCAAGGTTTTAAGAAAACTCATAGCTGCATTATACCCACAAAGAAACACACACGCACATATATATATATATATATATACATGCATACATACGCTAATATCAACGACTAACACCTAGTTGACAAAGCAGAGCTTGTCAGTTACCGACTCATGTCTACATCAACAATAACAACAAAAGCAGCAACAACTAAAGAAACTCGAAAATCCACAAGCACGATTTCGCCTATAAATAGTTGTGATACTGGTCGGTTAGTTTCAATTCGATGTTTACTTTCGCTTGAACCGGACTCGTTTCGGAATTGGTCGGCGTTCGGAATCGTCGATCTGAACTGAATTTCGTATTCATTGCTGTCGTTTTTCTTGTTGTTTGCCGTTCACGAAGAGAGGGGATAAACAGAACGAAAAATGAATAAGCTAATAACAGTTTTAGCTGGTTTCACCATGGCCTTTCTATTGGTACCTTCCATTGCCTTGGCGGATACCGAAAAAAACGCCTCGAATGATGAGCAAAAAGATGGTGAAATCAAAATTTACAAACGTCTGATTCCGGCCGATGTGCTTAGAGGTGAGTCATACATTTTTATCTATATAATCTAAAAAGCTGTATATGTATACATTTATGTAGGTATACACAGTAAAAACTTGATTGAACAAATGATAGACAATTGCACAAAACTTAGAACTAGCCTTCCTGCTTGAGTGCCATTACTTCAATCGAGGCGTATCGGCTCGAAATGTTTTTTTTATACCCTGAAACCATTGAAAATGGGAAATCAGGGTATAATGGTTTTGTTAAAAGTATGTAACAGGCAGAGGTAGGCGTGGCAGACCCCACAAAGTATATATTCTTGATCAGGGCAACGAGCTGAGTCGATTTAGCTCTGTCCGTCTGTCAGTCCGTCCGTCCGTATGTATGAACGCGTCGATCTCAGAAGATATAAGAGCTAGAAACTTAAAATTTTGTTTCCTACCCTGATTTCCCACAACATTTAAAATTAATTTATATATTTATTATATTGGAATTTTTTAAGATTTTCCTGGCATGTGCTTTGCATCGACTCGGTGTGCCACTGTTGAGCCCGGAAAGACATGGGAGCTGACGCCATTCTGCGGTCGTTCCACGTGCGTGCAGAATGAAGAGGATTCATCAAAGTAAGAACTTTTACTGAATCAAAGTCCGTTTTCTCATAAAACATTCAACAATATTTACAGGTTATTGGAGCTTGTAGAAGATTGCGGACCTTTGCCTTTATCGTTAGCAAATAATAAGTGTAAGCTGGACACCGAGAAGACCAACAAAACGGCACCATTTCCCTATTGCTGTCCGATCTTTACATGCGAGCCAGGCGTTAAGCTAGAGTATCCAGAAGTTGAAAAAGAAGAGGAGAAGAAGAATTAATCTCCCTATGTCGTTCGTTTTTCGATTATTATATTTTTTTAATATCTGTTATATCTGCTTTCTATACGTTTATAAATAAATTACTGTTCATTTATCTGGCGGAAAAATAATAAATAGTATAATATTTTGAAGTCAAATACTGTTATTTCATGTCATCTCATGTTCTAACTTAAAATTTTTTTTTTGCAATTTTAATATTTGAATTTGGCGCGCAAAGATTATATAGTCTGGCAACGTAAACAACGCGTACTGTGAACTACTCTTGAGTTGGCACTGATAAATTATTGACAAAGTGCTGCCACCTTGTTCAAACGGAATGTCACTCAGCGCTACGATTTATTATCGAGCTCCCTATCGCTCAAAACGTTAATTGTCGGTCAACGACAGATGTGAATTTAAAATTTTGACTCGAGTTACCTGTATAAGTGACAACAAATGTACAAATTTTATTTTATATTCCTTAAGCTCTTTGATGTAGGTTCGTATTCGAAATGTTAAAGTTAAAAATTCTTCGTAATCAAAGCTCTGACTTACACATCTAATCTTAATTTAAGAATTAAGTTAAATTATCGATTTTGATAGATAAAAAGAAAATGTGATGAGCTTTCGAAATAAATGATAAGTTCCTTCTACATATGGTGTGCATGCGTACAGTATGAATTTCAAATTTCATATCTACAGTTATCAATATATATGTATATACCTACTTAGTGTAGGTACAAATATAGTTGTAGTATTATAATATAATAGTAGATTGAATTTCTTATTTTGTTAAACAGGTATGTATATATACTTGTTTCATTTGTCTTTTTAATACAATGTTATTAAAATAAAGTTGAGACTTAATGGCAAACCGTATTGATAAACTAAAATACGTGTTGTATGAGTGATGCGATACTTCGTATTCGCCATTTTGTTTGTATCATGAAACTCCTCCTATGCAACCTGTTTTACTTTTTGTCTGCTTTTTAAATAAGTAGATTGACTTTACAGATGTATTGAAAGCATCTACAAACACATACATATAGGCAAAAGAGAGCGTGACACACACAATCATGAGTACACACACAGCTTCATCTTTTGTAGCTTAGCGGCTCTTTCGATGGTATTAGTTTACCTTCGTAGGAGCATAAGCATAACTCTTTCCTTGTCTGATATACATACGCGTTTAAAAAGCAGAACTATATATTAAATATATGTGTATGCATGTATATATACATACATACATCTGTAATATTAATACAAAAAGAAACAAAATATTATGTAATAACAGAGTCAAACAAACAAATATCAAATTATTATACATACATATGTACATAAGTACATCCAATTTAGTTTTAAAAAGCAAGCATTATTTTCTGGACATTTAGCACGTGTCATACACCCTTATACAAAACACACGCCGTGAGCGGGCAGCACGCATACAAAAGCTGAAATTAAAGCATACATACATACATATATACGTGTCTGTACATTCATTTATACATATGCATGTACATATGTATGTATACACATATATATGTATACCGTCGTGTCTAAAATAAAGATTGAATGGACCGGTTTTCGGGCTTTTTTCTTTTTTATAGTTGAATACTTCATCGAGTATAAGGCAACAGAATGGAATGTCTTCATTAGTCGGCTACATTGTTGCTCGAATTGTTGGTTGTGGTTCGTCTTTTAATACCCTTACCGAATATTTATCGATGTTAGCTACAAAGAGAATTGTTACCCGTCGACACTTGAAGTACGTACATACATACCCACGCATATTATAAATTGCTACGACTTCGATTTTTTATTTATTTGTTGCTTTGTATATGTATATCGAATTATATTATTACTTAAATAGCAAGGCTTGAGTATATTTTTATAACCTGAACCCATTGAAAATGGGAAATCAGGGTATAATGGTTTTGTGAAAAGTATGTAAAAGGCAGAAGGAGGCGTGGCAGACCCCACAAAGTATATATATTCTTGATCAGGGCAACGAGCTGAGTTGATTTAGCCCTGTCCGTCTGTCTGTCCGTCCGTCCGTATGTCAGGGTCCTAGGGTGTATGTCACGCACATATCGAGTTTTTCTCCCAAATCGATAACTACTCCCTATATTTTGCTATCGACTGAAAGCCTTATCGAAAACTAGTTATTAAATTATATCTCCTAAACCTTTAGAGCTACAGTATCCAAACTTTATATGTAGACTTATATAATTATATAATTTGTATTATCACCCTTATATAATTATATAATTTATATTATCACCTCACCCCTATATGCTCACCCACATATTTGTAAAAGGCGTATTTTAAATACCCATTGAAAATGGGAAATCGGGGTATAATGGTTTTTTGAAAAGTATGTAACAGGCAGAAGGAATCATCGAAGACCCCAGACATATATTCTTGATCAGGGTGACGAGCTGAGTCGACATAGCCCTGACCGGGTCTCCGTCCGTATGAGCAAACCAATTTCAGAAGATATAAGAGCTACAGAGCTGAAATTTTGCATGTATAATCGTTCACATTTTTTAGATAACTCATCCGATATATTTTTTATCGCGAATAATCGAATAACGGCTTTGTTTTTTCAGCCTAATGGGAATACTATTAGACTCACAGATTCGTTGTGTATATATGTATATTTAATGGATACGAAGATTCTGAAATTTACAGATTTGATACCACGCCCCCTTTCAAAGAATCAGATGTCAATTACTACGAGCATACACACGCTTAAACATTATGTTTACTTTCTGAATGTTTCATTAAGGTAGTCCCTCTACAAGAGAAATTATTCAACAAATAAATTCTTATATTGCCCACACTGCAGCGCAGCCGCTGCTTACTGCGCAGTTAGCAGAGTGCGGGCTTATGCGTGCGTGCGGATGCATGTGCATGAATGTGTGCATTAAAGAAGTGCAGAATGATTAGAATATCACCTTGTAGGGTTCAGGGTAGGGACGCAAAACAATCAATTGTTTTCACTATCGATTGTGAAAAATCGATGGTCTCACTTGCATCCCTAATTCAGGGTATCTCATAGTCGAGCAGTCTCGACGAGAACCTTCTTACCTGTTGACTGTAAATCTGTGGACTTTATGTACGTGCACATTATTCTTTGATGTTAAGACTCATATTTCACGCCCTTACCTCAGCTAAACGATATCTTTAAACTGGGAAAATTGCAGCTAGTTTTGAAAAAAAAAAAAAAATTGGCGGGAATTAATCGCAATAAGTTTTCACATCATGATAATAACACAGGGGAACAGGATTTGGTCCCCAAGAATTACAGTATTCATCCTGATATGTGCAGAACAGAATGTGAATACGACTCTACAATACCGAATTACCCGTGAGATTTTCGTATGCGGTCAATTTGTTTTTAAGCTAACTGGATCGGACTCAAACTAAAATTTCTTTTCAATTTCAAGCAAAGATTCATCATTTACATATGTATATTTTTAGCACTCAACTCACGCCCTTTGTATAAAGTTTTGACATAGTTTGAATACCGGGAATCCATTGAAAATATCAAACAGGGAAAAGGCGTATAATGAAGACATACGTATTGAAAATGGAAAATTAGGGTATACTGGCTTTGTTAAATGTATGTAAGAGGCAGAAGAAAGCGTGACAGATCCCACAAAGCTTATGTGTATGTATTCTTGATTAGGCTGAGTCGATTTAGCCTTGTCTGTCGGTCTGTCTGTAAGTGCATCCGTCCGTCCGTCCGTATGTATGAAAACGTCGATCTCAGAAGATATAAGAGCTAGAGATTACATTGTTCTCCTAGGCCCGTTTATATCACGGGTGTATCGAGTTTTTCTTGAAAAATCGATAGCTGCTCCCGGTATTTTGTTATAAATTAAAACCCTTTCTAACCTACCCTTTCAAATACTACTGACATTTGCTTTGGCAAATCGTGAAAGAAGTTTATCTACAAGAACCGTTATTAGCCAATTAAGTTCCCATAGTAAGTCCAAGCTGCATCCCATGCGTGCTCGTATTTCTTGAGTAAGCAGAAAAACGGGAAGAATTATTGAAATATCAGTTCCTCGAGGGTTCAGAGGATCTCGTAGTCGAGAAGTCACGATTAGAGCTTTTATACTTGTTTATTATAAGTTGTATTGAAAAATTATAGTAAATTTGCTTTTGTCAAACCATAAATATGTATGAAAATGGGCAACTTCATGGTGAACTTATTGCTATGACATAGCACTCATAACCATACTTATGTTTGTTTCCGACTTGAGCATATGTATGTATGTATATACATATGTATATCCCCCACTCGTTATATATACATATACACATAAAAACGGGGAGTTGATGAAGATGATGATACGATCACAGAACTGTGTTTTGCTTTAAGGCACACGCACAGATATATACAAATACACAATCATACCTACATACACACACAGTGAAAGACAGATGGACGGCCACGCAACATTCGCTGCGGTTGGCCTTATAAATGATAATGTCTTCATCAGCAAGAGAAGCGACAGCAGCATAATGCGAGAAATGGAGCCGTTGGATGTTGAATTGTGGAATAGGGCGAGATGAAGTAGAGGGAAAGAAAGATCGCGATACAAGCGATTGCATCGGATGGGCTTAACTGGAGCTCACAGAGTCACTCTCCAAGTTCACCGGCATGGGCTAATCGAACTGTTTGTCGTTTCATTTTTATACTTTATGATTCCTTCTGCCTGTTACATACTTTTCACAAAACCATTATACCATGATTTTCCATTTTCAATGGGTTCAGGGTATAAAAATGATTATAGAGGAATCTGAAAGCCGAAAGGACTGAATTCTAGTTTCTGTTTCATTCTATTTCCTAAAATGTGTATATGATTATTTATTTTATTTGTAAAATAGAAATCTTAATCCAACCCATCATATACTCTACAACAAAATGTTCACCAAATTGAAAGTATATATAATAAATATCACACTACTATTTAAATAAATAATGAGCTTATGAACTTTCCTATGGGTATATATGTGTGTATATTTGAGATACTTATCGAGCAGCCCACGAAAGCAACAATAATATACTTGATATTTTGTAGATGCTCTTGTCAACTTTTTTAAACTCTTTTGCCTTTGAAAGCATTCACATGGGCACATACACATACACAGACTATGTGAATGAATGTATATAAATATAAATCTGCGACTGCACTGCAATTGCTTCGCCGCTTTATTAAAAATAAAACAGGATTTGAGAGCGAGAGTAATATCCCAATACCGATGATTCTCGGTTTGAGATTTTGCTTTATTGACTAATTAAGCCCTTAAAATCGAAGAACGGGCTCTGACTCGGCCTAAGTCACGTTGAAAATAAAGTCATTCGGACGTGTTAGGTTATTAGTCGTTAAAAGAACGAAAAGAGATGGAATAAGAAAAATTTAAGACTTGCTGTATGCCATGCGTGGGTGTGTATTGTATATATGAAATGCATGCATGCATAAGACTAATAGATAGTCAAATAGTATATTTTACTCCGAGCTTAGTAACTTTCTCATCAAACTGAAGTATTTCTGTGAGTTCAATTTCAAACATACATGTATATAAATGTATGTATGTATGTATTTATATTATTTATTCAAAACATGCGAACCTTAGATTGGATGAAATATGTATATATGTACATATATACATATTTATGTACATACATATGTAAGTAAATATGTATGTGTATAATGTTTAATTTTCGTATACATATACATATGAATATACATACTTGTATACATATAAATATACATGTACATTTATACACATGAATATACATATACATATACATATACATATACATATACATATACATGTACATATACAGGAACTGAAGCTTTAAAGATCGCGATGTTTTCATGTATGTATGTATGTTGTATCTGACAATCGACGACATCAGATGGGAGAAGTGTGGGGACTTAAATGCTGATGCAAAACCTAAGACATAAAAAAAAAGGTACATACACTCCTACATTAAGCCATACACACGAACATACACATACACACAGAGCTTGCATATCTGGTTTTATGTCTTTTCCGAGAACCAACGAAGTTCCCTCGTTAAATAAGACGAATATGTGCGAGTGTGTGAGTGCGAACGTGATTGTGAATGTTTTCTGTTCTCAACAGTGCTGCCAAGAGGCAGCGGTAAAAAGTGATAGGACGGAACAAATTTATATTATATATGAACTATATACACAGTCAGTGAAATAAGGCTTATTATAAATAATGTTATAAATTAATATGCTTATTATAAATGATTTGCTTATTATATATTATTTGCTTATACATGTTTATGTAACAACAATTTTTCCGCTTACAACAAATATTTGATCTAAATAAGCACAAACATTTGCATATCGCACGCTCGTCAAATATTGTCAGTTTGTGGCTAGGTTCGGTTGTTAAAAAGGATGAAAGGAATAGGTCGATCTCGGAAAAGGCTATATTCTTGCAGATTCACAGCCACAAATTATGTTAACGGAAAAATGCTAAAAGTGCAGCACTAACTTACAATCACATGCAGAGGTAGTCCGGCAGGCAGGCAGGCCAGGCATGCTGGCATTGGCAGATGCAGGCAGGCAGGCTCAACTTAGCTCGTAGCTGCGCTCGCATCTCTCTTGTGCTTCATAGAGAAAAAAGATCTTGGAATGACTTGAATAAGACGTTAAATTACAAAGGAAAACATATAATGAGAACGTAGGAGAACGTTGGGCGCACAGCCAGCGCATTTTGAGATTTCGTTCCAGTCCCGCTGTTTTGTCTGTCTTTCCTCGCTCTGTACCCGCTTCTCAGCAGAAATTTGGGTCCGGAGTTTTAAAGATTCTCGTTGC